TTAGACAAAATAACATAAGAGATGCTGCTGTGTGGCTACTGCATCTAACAGGTGCAGCTGCCTTTTCCTCACAGTATGAAATGTGCATATTTTTTCCATGACTGTGAATTTCTGTTTCTTTTATCACTTTGATGTAATTCCTGTTGCAAGATTTCCCTATATGACAACATAAGACCATTACATTATTGTTTTGCAAAAAATATTGTGATTGTGGACAAGGAGACCAGTTTATTGTAGTGGTCATCAGTCTCAACAATTGCTAATTAATGCAGCTGAAATACATGACTGTATCTTTAACTCGGAATAACCTCAACTATGCAAATTATCAAAGTTGCTTGCATCTGTGTCAGAAAACATCGTGAAAGGAAATCTCTTCCATAGGAAAAGAGAATGACAGGTAAAATAAGTGAAGTGTATCTGCTTAGGAACAAGTGTTTTATGCATAATTATTTCATGCATTGTAAATTAATTGCATCATATGTGCCTGGGAAGTACAGAAAACTGAAATAATGTAGTTAGGGCTTATTGGAATTTACTATGCAGTTGTATTTCTTTTTGAATTTTATATTTTTTATAAGTGATTGCTACATAAGAACCCAGGGAAGAGATGTCAGTGCTGGTATTCTTTGTTAGTGTCTTGGCATATGTGTATTTTCCAGAGATCATATACATACTCTATTTATTTACCCTTTTTCTAGCATCTCGGTATCTTGCAAAATATAGGTATGCAAACTATGGATAGGGTAATGCTTCAGGAATGTAGGTTAAAATCCCCAGGAAGAGGCCAGGAAGGGCAGTTGGGCTTAACAAAGTGAAATGGAAATGAGAGCTTCCAGAGAAGGTTCTGAAAGTGCAGGCAGCAGTAGGAGAGAGGTGAGGAAACTGTACAAGTGAAGATGGAACTTGTAGAGTCTTTAAGGACAAAGCTTTCATTTCTGTGCCCAGCACCTGGCCTGTCTAGGCACTACTGTAGTAATTAATACTAATCAATAGTATTCAGAAACTTCCCATGGAATACGAATGGAGCTATTGGCATAATCTTCTTAAAAAGTGGAGGAACAAATCTTGTCACCTGAGTACAATACAGCACCTGTATTTTAGTGTAAGACACTGTGTATGTTCAGTATGTGACAATGTGAGGGTGGGTTGTTACAGACACTTTAAAAAGAAACTTGTTTTGTGTAAACTTTTGTAGCAAACTAGATGTACTTCTTTTGTTTGTATTGAATAATGCATAGAAATTTCAGTATTTAGGAAATCTGTTTATGAGTGTCTACTAAACTCCAAATTCATGCAGAATGTTCCCATAGGTTTTGTTCCCATACTTTTTGTTTTCATCTGCTAATTAATAAGACAAAGCATTTTGTATATTACTTTATGGAACTTTATTTGGACTGCTATGGTGGAGTCTTGGGTTGGCTTGGATCTTGTGGTAAAATTGCCCTGTTTGGGGCAATTCTTACTTTAAAGAAAGAGTAATCAAAAAGATTACAGAAAGCTTTGGAAGCTCATATCCATTAAATCCAGAATAATGAAATGGACAAGATCAGTCATTAAATAAGTAGAACTAAGATATGCTGAAAGAGTATGAATAGAGTATTGGAAATAAACTTAAGATCAGTCATTAAATAAGTAGAACTAGGATATGCTGAAAGAGTATAAATAGAGTATTGGAAATAAACTCCCTTCCCATCCACTAGGTCTTTGAGGAGTATGTCTTCCCCTTAAAGCTTTTGCTTGCCAGTTGGTACCTTTCAATAGCTGGATTCTGTTCAGGCTTCATGAACTTCTCTGCTCAACCAGGCTTGGCAAGACTTTACTGTCTGCCACACAGAAGACCTTGCTCCACTCAGTCACAATGCCTGGATATCATGAGCTGGCTAGAAGTAATCCTGGCTTCTCCAATGTTGCTGACTTTTCTGTCTGAGGGAGCCAGTCACCCTCTCCCAGAGGTCTCCCCCTGCTCCAGGGTGCAGGAGGCAGGACTAGACAGACTTTTTCACTCATCCAACTTCACCCTTTAAGTAAAATATACCTAACACAGAAAATGGAAATAAACCAGTTCTGGCATCCATCACAGCTACCAATTTCATGAGAGAAACTGGTGTCTTTCTAAACAGATAGGGATATAGAAACAGATGTAGGATTTCAATTTGAAAATAAGGTTCTAAAAAGTCTCTGTGTAAGTGCTTGCCTTGCTTCAGCAATAGCAGTAAAGTTCTCTCATTGATTTGTTCTCACATCTGTGAAGACAGAAAAGCTTACAGATGTTTAGGTTTGAAAGTGATGGCACAGATAGTTAATTGCCTTTAGACTTCGAATTTATAAAAATGCTTCTGACAAAGAGCTTTCCTGTGAAGGAGTATTATGTTGGTGTTATTTGCAGCATTTATTGCAAAGGGTCTGTGATGGCATTTCCATTATAAAACTTTCTTTCTGTTCTTTCAATAAAAATTCACTTCAGACTGTAACATGGACCATCTAATCTCATCTCTTGACCAGTGGTTGTTTTTACCAGTTTTCTAGAAAATTGACTGGTCTAAGGTTTTTATATTGTACAAAGGTTAAAGAAGGTGTGGAGGGGAGGAAGTAAGGTTGGGAGTAGTAGGAATGCTGTTTATGGATATGGTTTGTATTTCAATTGTAAGATCAAAATAGTGTGCTATTGGCATTATCTGTAGGCCAGTTATGCTGTAGTAGAATTCATTACAGTTCTTTTTAGTGCATGAAACTCTACATATTGCCCCATCTTTTATAGGCTGGACTTGATCTCAGAGGTGTTTTCCAGCCTTAATGATTATGTGATCTATACAAAAAGATTTCAACAGATACATAAATCTTTATCCCAGGCAGTAGCATTTGAAAATTATAACAAAGTAAAGTACTATCTAAGATGATATATTGCAATATTTTAAAAATTATTTCTGGTTAAGAGGAAGCAAAAATCACCACTTTCACGTTATGCGGAGCTGAGGGGGTTTTCTTTGATTTTGTTTTTTTTTCTATTCTCTATGCTATTTTATTTAAATTTGGAAGCACTGAGTCATTTTGAAAATCATTTTTTTTGAAAGGTCAGTAATGTGAAATAGTCTACCATTCTTATGTCTGCTCAGTTTGCACCTGACTAGAATTGAAATCTGAGAAAGGGATTCTGAGTTCCCACCTACTTCCTCAAAGATAGCAGCAGCTTCACTGTTGTGAGTTTTGGCTGGTAAAGCCATAGTTATCAACTCTGCCAGTTATTCAGGGTTGGTAGAAGCTTGCTTTAAGTAGCTTTTCATTTTCTTGGACTTCTTTTTTCCTGGCTGCTATGTCAGCACATTGGTATACACACAGATTTTCATTTTGTGGCTTCTGTTTAGCTTGCTTGTTTGCTTTAATGTTGCACCTATTTTCACCATTAGATGCATTTTATATTATATACTACATAATTTTTCTTTTCTTGTTGTGGTCTGTCAGACGGTGCCTCAGTTATGTTTGAAATGTGTCCATTATACACAATCTCAGTCACTTTGATGTGCCTTGAAGCAGTTCATAGCATGCTTATATGTTAGGTCTGCTTATGCTGTCACCTTTCAGACATCAGACCCTGCAGAGGGGAAGTCACGCTTTAGCTGGTCTGCCCTGAAATAATCAGTAAATTCAGCAGAAATTTCCTGGTGAAAAGAAACCTGAATGGTAGCCTTAGAAGAATACAAATTCAAGTGACATTTTTGCTGAATCTACAGTGTAGCTGCTTGCATTGGTGTAAATCTTCCTGGATTGACTTGGATGGCAGTGGGGCAGAAACATCTAGTTTTAGTAGCAAAAGAGCCACAATAAAACTCGGTTTTATTATTATTTGAAGATATATATTAGACAAATCTGAGAGCATTTAGGGACTTTAAAAGAGGTGAGTGAGAACAGAATTGGGAACTTGAACATTTTATTTTGTTGTCACAAAAGCAAGTATAACTCTTCCAATAAATATCATAGTCCTACATTACTTTCAGAGGTTTACTGTACAAATAGATTCACTGAAGATTCAAACACTATCAGGTCAGAGATTTGAATCTAGAGGTGCACAGCTAAACTTTCTGAGTAACAGAAGCTTTTTAAATGTTTGTTTGAAGAATGATTTATAGTATTTACTTACTTATGATACTAGTGTATCTATACTGTGGAAAGACTTGATTAGTATATGTAGATTCCTGAAACAGCTTTACCACAGAGAAATTGAATGTTTGGGCATGTTTTGGCTGGTTTTCAGTAGAAATTGGGGGTTCATCTAAATACTAGCTTTCAAAATACTTGCAATTTTAAGGCATTAACTAAAGTGACATTTTGAATTTAGGTGAATCTACCTGCTCCTTTTCCCTCAGTGGTTTCATGCAAACAAAATTTTTTAGAAAGGATTTTGTGCTAGTAGATCATATTTTTAATCAGCATTTAAAAAGTAGAACCCCTATACTCAATTACCTCAAATCTTTAAATGGACTATATATACATGTAGAAGTGGAACTTTAAATCTGTTTAAAATAAGAAGTACTATTTTACAGCATTCAAGAAATCTGATATTCCAGTTCAATATGAGCAGTAATGGATGTGAGAAAAATGTGTAGGCAAACTATGCAATGCTAGATACAGGATTATCAACATTTGTAAATAAATGAAAAATAATCTGGTTTTAGGAAGGACTTATTTTAGATACTGAACAATGCTGTGAGGGAGAAGAAATCATTCAGTGATAGATTTTTTAGAGGAAGGTAAAAGGCAACTGAAGTCCCTTAGTTTCTAGGTTTGGATATGTTACAAGTCACTCAGTACACCATTCAAAAACTTGCTAAACTCTTGTATTTTATTCCACAGAGAAAACAAACTACTATGCGTAGACAACTGTGTCCATGTCCCTGTATTCTAGGGCCTGATTTTATTAGGATACTTCATGGAGCCTCTTGTATAACATATCACGCTTTGTTAATGTGCTGTGTCCTACCTTAACCTGATTTTTTGTTTTTCAGCTCTGAGGGACAACAGAATTGAGCTGGTCCGAGCTTCCTGGCATGAACTGAGTATCAGTGTCAGTGATGTGTCTCTGTCGGATGAAGGGCAGTACACCTGCTCTTTATTTACTATGCCTGTCAAAACTTCCAAGGCTTTTCTTACCGTTCTCGGTAAGTATAAATAGATGAGCATAAAGAAGCAAGTGTTAAACTCTTTAGGCTTTGGCAAATTATGATAAGAATGAACTTTTCTAAAGCTTGGCAGAAGATAAATGTAAATGTCTGATCTAGTTTCTGTGATGTTTATTGTTTCATATTGCTGTGCTGAAAAATAACATACCTCTTACTGTTTTCACTGTGGCAGGATAATGAATTAGGGATCACACAAACACCACGGTATGAATGCTCCATAAAATGGACATAACCTCTATAACCCAAGCACCAGAAGTGCGAGAAGGTGCATGTGTTCATCTCCTAACAATGTATTGTATAGGGCAAAGGGGAGAAAATCAGAAAGCATGAAATCAAAATGGGCTTTAGAGCTTTATCATTTTTCCTTAGCTGGGCATTTTCTTGGATCATTCTGCTTTCTTTTTCTTGGTCTATAAAGTGCAAATTTTCACTGGCTTTGCTGCTTCTTTTATGCTTTATCCTCTAAGTGCTCTGCTGTTTTCCCCAAAGGTTATAGATACACATAGAAAAGCAATAGATTTCAAGAGATGCCCAGGAAATAAAGTTTCTGCTTGAAGCTTTATATGATTCTATGAATGTCAGTTGCCCAATCAGCCAAAATTGCTATAGTTCATTGAAACACACCTGAGTACCTAAGAGATTATATGATTTTAGAGTGTGATTTTTATTCTCTTCTCCTTTTTTTTCTGTCCCTGAACATGTCTCTTTCTTTCTTTTTGTTTTATTTTTATATGTAGACAGGCAGACAGTTGAATTTAATAGGACTAATGTAAGATATTCTCTGTGCCAGTAATATTCACATTAATCCAGCCAGGGAATTGGTTTTGTGCTTAGGATATGAAATATGTCTCCCTTTCAGTCCCTGTGAGACTATTTTACAAAGATCTTCGCAAGTTTGCCATTAAGGACAAAAAATGTCCACTGAAAGCAGAGTATTCTGGAATAGCAGCTACCTATGCTTAATCTTCTTTTCTGTAGAGAATATCTCATGATCTGAACACTTGATGAGTACCCTGGTTTAACCTTTTAAATGGCAGAGAGACATAGAAAGGTATTACAAAGACAAAAGAACCCCATACAACCAATATTTATTAACTTGTAGCAACTTGATCTTTCACAGTCCTTTAAGTTTTATTGCAATTTTCGGTTTCATGAAATTTTCTCAATGTCAGCTACTTACCTTCCAAGAAAGAAGTCTGCAAAGTTTAGGATTGCTGCATTTTTTCATTGAAATGCATTTATTCATTTTGTTTTTCTTTTTGTATTTGTAGTAATTTTCTATTTCAAAGTAACATTTTAAACTCTTGGAACACTTTCTGTTCAAGAAGAGGATCTTTTCCATTGAAATGTATTACATCTTTTAATCAGACACATTATCCTTTTATGTACTACTAATCTCTTTATTGACTGCTCTGCTATATATTAGAAGATTTACTTGTCAAGGTGTTATAGTAGACACTATTTCCTGTACTGAAAGAGCAGACTAGATTTATTACAGAAATGTACTACGCAATAGGTACTGCTGCTTACTTTTTATGTACATAATATATCATTTTGGAAAAGAGATGTAAAAACCCCAAATTATGAAATATGGGGCACAGGATAAATTACTGTGACTGATCCCTTTATCTAGCCACAAATATGAATGCGTCAAAGCACTGCAGATGCAAGTTATAACTGACATTTTTTGAGATTTAAAATTGCAGTCATCAGTATTACTTTAAAGTAAGTTATTCTCACGTTTTCATAAGTAAAATGCGTTTATACATGTAATGATCAAAATTTTCCCAATTCTCTTCACAATTTTTTTTAAAATCTTCCATGGTTCATTGAAAAACAATTATTTCTAAGTGCAATATTATGTGTACAGTATGTCAAAATCATATGACCTCCTCCAAAGCACTTGGATTCAGCTTAAGAACTCTCCATAGCCAGTGGAGCTGTGTTTATACCTCTTGGTGCTTTGGTTCTGTGTTCTCTGAAGATAAAGTGACTATTTATTATCATCCTCCCTTTTCGATGGATTTTGTATTAAAGTCTTCATTATTCAGGTTTAAATGTCTGTTCTGAACTTAGGTCCGTTCAGCTTTGTGTTGCCAGTTATGTTTTATTTTCACAGCTGTGCTTCTAATATGCTTTGTCATCCTGCTTGCTGTGCAGAGCAGTTTAAATATTATAACAAGTCAGACTAGACCTGCGTGCAGAATGTACATAGATATTTATTAAAATACAATCTCTTTCTCTTAGAAAACTAGATAATTTCTTTCTTTATTTCTTTAGCATCAACTAGAGTTCAGACTGACTGTTTATTTGCAGTAGGAAGAAGGATTCACTGACAAGGCACAAGGAGTTAATTATCCTGTTTCCAGAATTTACAGCATATGAAGAAGTGAACTTTATGTCGGTATTCATGGCAGCAGCTGACACTATCAGAGACATTTTGCTTGTTTGCTTGTTAGGTGTTCCTGAGAAGCCACAAATTACTGGATTTACCTCACCAGTTATGGAGGGAGAGAGGATGCAGCTAACTTGCAAGACATCTGGTAGCAAACCAGCGGCTGATATCAGATGGTTCAAGAACGACAAAGAAGTTAAAGGTATATAAAAGGACTTTGGGGTAATTTGGTCTGTTGAAACTGTACATTCTTTAGAATTATATTTTTTAACTTGTATTTGTAAAGTTTCTCATATTTAATTGTGAAATGAATCAGTGATAGTACTTAGGTAAGGAATTGATTGTAAATTACTGTAGTGGTCCTATAACCATCATGATACCATTTCTTCCAGTGGTAAAAACTGATGCTTTGAATTGCTCAGAATTTTGTTCAGCCTAGTAAACTCAACTGTGAGGCTTCATAGAGAAGTGTGGTAGGGATTATTGTTATCACAGTCATACAACTCATCCTTTATATTTTACCTTTTAATTTCTTTTTGCCATTCTAATGTGATGGATGACTGATTTGGTCAATTGCCAGTTTTATATTACACTTCTCTAAGTAGTGTGACCAGGTGAGGCAGAACCATCTGGAGGCAACATGAGATTGCAGTTCTCATAGGGGAGCTATGGAGCCTGCCCTGGTAAGGAAGAGTCAGGATGTAGCAACTGAGGGAATCTCAGCTGGGAAACTGGGAGCATACAGCTGAGGCAAGGATGCTGACAGTCTGAGATGAGGAGCAGGGAGAACATGGACTTTAAAGAGTATCAGGAGAACTTCACAGGGACTGGGGGGAGTTGGACAAAGCCTACTGTAGCTGAAAAGTGATCAGTTGACTAAATCTAAAGCTGACAGTAGGGAATTACCTTTGAGGATGCAGCAAGGCAGGGAAGAGCTGCATATAATTTATTTATTTTCTGTCTTCTCTTTCACTTCATGTGTTCTTTGCTTAGAACTTAGTCTTCTAGTCCATATTATAAATGCTGGGATAGTTTTAAATCCTTATGGGTGTATTAGTGAGTGACGAGAGCTTCCTACAACAGAAGACTTAGTCACATCCATGAGGCAATTTAGGAGCCCATTATAAAGTAGATAATAGAAAGGACAAGGTACTGGTGGCATTTATTCATGTCACCTCTATTAATTCTTTTATAAGAGCAGATCAATAAATGATTCAAAATCCACCTTTTTTGTGTAGCTTTTAAAAAAAAACCAAACAACCTGACACTTTTATCTACTTTGTCTCATATTTGTCTAATATTTTGAAGTTCATTAGCTCAATAAACTGCCTCAAGCAAAATTACAACATTAATTACGGAATCTATTTATCTTCCTTTTCTATCTACCACAGTTCAACATGTAAAACCAGAACTCTGATATAAAATTGGAAAATAAAAGAGAATGAAGTTGACTGTCTAAGGAATCCAGGCCATTCTAGAACTGTCTTTAAATTTCTGATGAAAATTATAATAGTGTCAAAAGAAACAAGTATTTTAGACTGGAATAATTTGAAATATGTTTGAACATTTGTAACAATGGTAGAAAATGAGGAAACTGAGAACCATTCTTTCTAGCACTGGGAAATTTGAGAAAATTGTTGAAAGAAATGCAATAACTAATCAAATGTAATTAAAAAGAAGAATTTAACAGCACAGCTAACACACATGGCACAGCATAAAATCTCATCCAGAAGAGATGATGGGATGAATATATGTATTCAAGGCTTGTAAAGATTGAAAATCATTCCAAGCAATCTCAATACTTTCAGAGAAACACTGATAGAATTGGCCTAACAGCAAGGCAACACATTTGAAAAGATATTATTTTAAAAATTATATTTTAAAATCTGGTGTAATAACTTTGCCTTTCTTTCAGCTGACATGTAATTAAAGCTGGGAAGAAATTT